AGGAAGTTGGACCTCACCAACACTAGTCACCCGCTAAAACTGAACTTGTTTTATTCCAAGAAAAAATTGAATTAATTTGTTTTTCTTATTGGTGAGAATCAACGCATCACTGTGATAGTGTAATAATCGAGGTACTACTGGCCGAGTTGATGAGCCGCACATACTAAATCAGATGAGTTAAACGTATTTGGCTATAAGTCCAAAAACGGATAAGACTAGTTGAATCACCTTTTTTATTAAGTCGCTCCACTCCTTTTCCCTTAAGTTTGCCAATCAAACGAAAGTAAATCCTTCTTTACCCTTAACCACCAATTCTTACATCCAGCGCGTTACCTAATCAGCTGAGTTAAATAGCTGCCCTTGTTTTGGCTTAGCAGCAGGCGTGCCATAATCAGTAAACAGATGTGTCCGAGGCACTTGTGTGCTATATCCAGTCTCTGCCAGGTGCTCATGAACCTCTTACCACTGGACCTATCAGCCTATATAAGTATTTTCGTTCTAGCCACTCTCTAGTTAATGTATTTTTGGTAGCGTGTTGGCCTCTCAAACCTTTACATCCATGATCCGAATCCCGCTGGGAGAGCCGACGAGATGATTGGGTGAGGTCGAACCTGCGGTCTACAGTTGAGAATAACGCTTTTCTGAGATGCAAGAAAATTCGAACCTCGTTGAAGAACTATAGAAATCTCTCAAGATTTTGCTATAATTCCAATTAAAGCTAGTCGAAACGAATATACCCTCTCCGCAATCAGACTCTTAACGCAACTCAGGGCGCTACTAAATGGCGTATTCGCATTATCGCCCTTAATTTGGAAAGACCTGTCGTCATGTAAGGATTGCTAGGTCTGGCCGCTATAGGTTGGTGGATACGAGATAGGTTTGACGTAAACATATGGATTCACTGATTACTGTATTCCTGCTACCAAGCGCAAATCAAGTGCGGAACCCATCAGATTAGGTAATACCTTGCGTGTATAGAATTGGGATAGAGAATAAGACAAAACTTGCACCTTAATTGGCAAGCTCAAGGAAACAGGAGTTGAGTACAATCAATGGGCTCTCAAGGATTTTGATAGACTGAAATTCACAGTAAAATTTGACTACCCAAAACCCAAAGAATCCGCAATTGTTCTCTGGTAAGATCGAGCTAAAACTTCTTCACCATGCAGTCTTGCGCATAATCAAAGTTGGTTCGACAATGTACATGTCTGAACTCTGATTAAGGTATTAAGAACAAATCATCAGTACTTATCCAGTTAGCAGAACAGTTTGCTGCAGGTTTACCAACTAATATTTGCTCGACAGAATTGCACGCCTTAACATGCCCATGAGCTCAATTTAGCTTTCTCCCCATCCGAGCGACTCTCCTCAGCCACAGCCTGAGTGCCAATGAATCAAAGGGCATGTGTGGCTTCCAAGGTAGACTAGGCAATCTACATTCGTTTATACACTGTATAATCATGTCTTTGTTCTCATGGGAACCTCGGAAATTGACTCGGCATAGTACACTGCTATGGTTGTTGTGTTAATTCCCGGACCCTTGACTGGATACGCTATCAGTCGTTTAGCCGGCATCACATTCTATTATTTAATGGGTCACGCTAACCTTAGCATAAAGTTATGCGTCAGTGTCAAGTTTAAATCAATCCCCTTGACTATCTCTCAGCTACGCGGTTGTGGCCGCTCTCCTCGCTGTCCCAGCAAACTTTCTATCTCGCGGCGCTACATCCTCAACCCCCATACTTCAAATTGCTTAATCGCATCTTTAGTCCAATTTATATCCTCCCTTCCTCCGCTAAGTTATATAAATCCTCTTATGTGGGTTTTTCGAGGCATAATTAGCCTCACCACAGAGCCCTCCTCTACTGGACTTGATCCAAACCGGTACCTCCACTCAGCAATCCTCTTCAATTAACTCATATCAACTTGTCCTTTCATGCCCTGGGTAGTGTCTTTTTTAACTGGCCAACTGCGTCCACTCGCCTTATCCTCCACAGTTGAGTTTACCATTTCCTCACTACCTTAAGACTGGACCGGCCAAAAGATGGTCGCGTAGTTTTCCGAGAAATACATAAATTTGTAAACATGATTGTTTTACCGATGCTATCAGGTTTTTTATCCACGACTAGATATTTCAGGAAAAAGAGTGGCTATAGACCTGGGTTCAGATTGTCAATGGGTTTGACTGAGGAAGTATGCCTGTGCCTCCTTTAAATAAATTTGGCGGAAACTTTCATTGATCTCAACTTGAAGCAAGCCTTTATTCTAGGCATATCTGAGTCATTTTTTCGTAAGCGAGTAGGTTGTCGGGACTACCTATGCGAGGTCGAAACTGTGGTCCACCCTGGATGAGAACATGTTTTGGGAAAGCAAGCCTATGTGAAATACAATGGAAACGCCAGCTCTACTCATATCATTGTTTGAAAAATCAACTACCAACCCTTCATCACTTTAGACGAAATAGGGTGATACAGCTCATGTAACTGAGCCATGTTGTTGCTGAGACGGTAGAGGCAATACGAAGAGAAATTGAGAAATGTCGAAATCCACTAGTGACTTCATTAGAGGCTGAGCCTTTCGTTGAGGAGGCAAATCTTAACCAAAACGACGATTTCTTTCAGTCACAACTTCGATTTAGAATACCGGCCTGCAAATAAGGTGCCTGTGAAGTCGACAAGTGTTGAAATTCTAATTCGTGTGCTGGAGAGGGGCAGAGGAAGAAAGGATTTTGTGCTGGAGTAAGTCTGTCTGAAGATGACACTACCTAGTGGAAAAAAATCAAAATAAAGAGTTCATTTATTCATTTTACAAAATTATCATATATAAATATGCGGGTGCTTCTATGTGTATGCATGTATGTGTATGTACGGCGTTGGCTATGTAAGCTCACAGGGGAGAGGTGCTAAAATTGCAAGAAAAACGAGAACAGGATGGGAATGGGATTAAAAATAATGCAAATAATAAAGAATAGAGGAAACTTAACAGATCCGTAAAGGAATCGAGCAAAAAAATAATGCTGAAACACGGCATGCTGATAAGATGGCGACGAGACGTCTTGTGTGCGTGCGTGCGTGCCGAGGTGACAGGGGCAGAAAAAATTAAGAGGGAAGCTTTGTCCATAGCTTGTAGGCCATCACAGTGTGAATAAGCATTGTTTACATTAAAGCAGGTCATTCGAAAATTGTGCAGCTTAGCCAAGAGAAGATCACCAAAGCCTGTTTTCTTTAAATGAGGCTTCAACGGCTGAGCGAATAGTAAAATACGGCCCCGCGAACAGTTCTTGCTTTGAATGAGTAAACCAACGGACTAGGTTTAAACCTTTGGCCACGTGTGGATGTTGGGAATTTTGAAGCCCAAATCAAGTCTTCAGACCTCCTAATCGGAAAGTATCTAGAGACTTGATCAAGGAGTTGCAAGATAATCGCAGTACATTCCGGTAGAGATTAAATCGAAAGAACATCATCAAGAGATGCTCCCATAGAAGCCGCTATAAGCGATCCGGCCAAAGGGAAGGCAAGAGACCTTCATGGTAGCGCCGATTCCTCCATGGAAGACGAATAAATCAAACCGGTTGCTATGAGAAGATGATTGAAGATTACGTGCTAAAGGGGTCTGGATGAGGCGAATCAGTGACCCTGTAAGGAAATACAGAGATTTTGGTTGAGGTAATAGCGATAGGCATGAAGTTGGTCCTGTCCGTTGTTGTATTTGGTGATTGTTGTGACTGTGGAGCTGAAAGGAGAATCAAAGTACTGGGATGTAAAAGGGAAGCTGTGCTACTTTTGCTGCTAACAGTAGTTTAAAATCGAAGGGTAGACGGGTTACAATGATTTCTATACAAAATAGGGTTGAAAAGAGTATCTGCCATATACAGCCTAGTATCGTTTTCTAATACACCACATTAGTATTTACATATGCAGAAGCCTATAAAAGCAGGGATGGGCATTTGTGAGTGTGTTTGCATATGCTCATGTATAAGTAGATTAATAGGGATGAAGCGCTCAGAGAGATTAAGAGTGCGTGGAGCCAGTGACCAAGCGTAGGCTGGCGATATGGAGTAACAGTGGCGCGCAGTAGGCTGAGGAGGAGTCTGAAAAGTATGAAGAGGAAATTATGAGTGGAAGGAAGTAAAAGGCTTGGGCAAAGGATAGTTGAACAAAGTGGAAAGTTGACGAAAGTATGCATGTAGTGTTCGCGCCTAAGAAGTAAAAAGCCCATGAGGAAAGGAGAGAAAAAATTCCATTACATGACTAGATCAAATGAAACTTGTGCAAAAATTCGCATCAGTCGTGATTGCGATTGAAATCGAAAGCAAGAAGGCTGTAGTCATGCGAACGAAGGGTTCTCGAGGGATAAGAGTTCGTAAAAGACTAACAGGGGCTCGTTGTCCAGGCGATCTGGCTACGTAGTCATATTGCATAGGATAAAAAGAAGAAAGGGATACAGACTGGTAACAATATGTACAAAAGGAATGAGTATAACATCGATATTTGCATATACACACATGTGGATGCGTATAATAAGTGAGCGATCTTAGATAGAAGAGGTGACAACGGTTGGATTCGGCAGACGAGAGAGCTCATCATCGAATGAGGCAGAAGATGTAGAGGAAGAAAAGTGGGGATGAAAGCATGAGCAGTGCGCCTAAACGTGAAAGCTTGAACGATACCAGCAGCATGAGAAGACTAACTCATAGTCGGAGACAAAAGCAAGTATGCTAGAAGGCTGAAGAGAAAAGTAGCAGATTTGTAAACAGACAAAAATAAGCAGATAAAACTGATCGAAATTATAAACTGGAATGGGGAAGGATCGGCAAGGCAAAATGGTTATATAAATAGGGATTATATTAACGTTTATCTAATTGCTGGAATATATATATATATATATATTCCTAAAACACATCTGAACACCATGCCAAGCGATATCTGGGATGGACTATTAGGGGGGAACTAGAAGAAAGTAAATGAGTGAAAATCGTAGATCAAAAAGAAAGACAGGCAAAATTACAAAGTGAGCACAGTAAGTGTGCCATTAGGATGAGGCATATTCTGCCTCATCGTTCCACGTTAGGGAGAAATAAAGCAGAGAAAAGCTTAGAATCAGGACGATTATGTAGTGTATGGTGGATACAGAGAATATATATCCTTTTCTCTCCGAACAGTCGGTTGCGTAGGGAAGTAGAACGACGAGACAAGCGGAGAGCATAGCAGAAAGACTCAAGTGCTTGCAGACATCCATCGCTTTGGTAGCCTTAGACCAGAACAAACTCAGATGTATACACGTTCTCTTCGTCCTCATCTTCTGTAGGCAGAGTACCGACGTGCCTGGCCGCCCTCGAGGATACACCTGCCGAATTGGCCTCGGGAGCTGGCATTGACGAAGTAAGGCCGCCACGTAATGTGGAAATCGGATGGCTGGTGACCGGTGGCCCAGTGGAGAAGAGGCTGGACAAATGCAAAAAGTCGGATGTAAAGTGGACAAGAATAAGGAGTCAGAAAATAGAAGCATCGTTGTCAATTAAGAGCAAGGTGAATTTCGTGAATTTCATGGAGCGGTCCTAGTAAAAGATCTGCAAATCTTAAAATGACCAGATTCGCAAGGGCTTAACGGAGGTCGTCCCAATAACAGAACATACAGTGTTAGGGGGACCTTCATTTCGCATGAAAGTGCATGAAGAAGAGATTCGTTGGTCAATCTCACCAGATGAGAAAGGATGAAACTAATTGTAAATAATTGTAAATAAACTAAGCTAAGCCAAGAGAAAATTAAAAATTAAAACCCTAGACGGATATAGAGTGGTTTGGCTAATTATCTTTCATACTTGTCCTGCTACTATTGCTCGAGTGTATGCGTGTGTGTGTTAGTGTCTATACACAATATCGGTTCTAAATCAGAGTTATCGAAAGGTAAAAGTTAGGCTCTGATTATCAACGCCTAATGAACTCTAAGAAAGTCCTGACCGAGACTGCGTAAGTCCGTAAGCAAGTATGGTTGAGATAACGAGATATGAGCTTGTAAGCATGTAAGTCATTAGGTGTTGATGATCAGAGCCTAATTTTAACCTTTTGATAACTCTGATTTAGGACCGGTATTGTGTATAGACGCTAACACACACAC